TTTCGTTTACTAAAATATTGAATTTTATAGTACTGATTGGTTCTCATAAAAATGTTGAAATTTGAAAAAAGATATTGAATCTTCGAAAAACTTTACTTTCAAAAAAAATTTCAAATAAAAAAATATTGAAATTCACACAAATATTGAGGTTAAGAAATATATATAAACATTAAAAAAGAAGATTAATATAGCTTTCAAAAAATATTGAAATTATTTTAAAACAAAATCTTCAATTTTTTCAAAAAAATATCAAAGTTTGTATCAAAAATATAAAATGCAATACAAAGTGTTGAATATTTTATCAAAAATTACTGAAATTAATAAAAATTAATATTGAAAAAAGTATTGAATATTTCATCAAAACTTACTGAAATTTATAAAAATTAATATTGCATTTTTTTTTTTGAATAAAATTTAGAAAATGTTTGGTATTTAATTTTTTTTAAATTAACTATTGAAATAGTTGACTAATTCTTGCAAAAAATATTGAAAATAAAAAATATTTATGAAACATTAAAAAAATATTGAAATTTTTTTTATTTTAATTTTAAATTTGATTCATGAAACTATTGAAATCTCAAATAAAATGTCGAACTTCTTAATATTTTTTTTAATATTGAAGTTTTTATCAAAAGGATACTGAAAAAGTAAAAAAAAATGTATCTGTAAAATGTTTAATTAAAGAAATATTGAAATTTTTAACACAAAAATGTTAAAATTAAAAAAAAAAAATATTGAAATTTCTTTGAAAAAAAAATTTTGAAATTCTTTTCGAAAATAGTATTGAAAATTTAAAAAAAAGAAGAATATTTCAAGCAACTCTTTGATTCAAAAAAATATTGAAATTAAAGAAATGGTAATGTCTTTCAAAAAATATAAACTTTTTTTTAGTATTCAATTTTGTTGTTGAAATTATTGAAAGATTTTCACTCGAATTTACCGGACATTTATATACGTATGTAAGTAACTGCTACTTCGCATTCCGCCACCGCAGTTTTCTTTGCTTAACGTTCTCCTGTGCTTTATTTATCGCACGCTCCGTCTTGGCTATGGGAAGCGGATATACCGCAATAAAACACTTGCAACAGCCGAGTTGCGGCAATGCAATGAAAGCGTAAACGAGGCAAAATAAACAAATTTATATTTTATTTCATGTTCTTAATGTTATCAGTCGAAAGCAACAACAAAGTAACGTCAACGCGCGGAACGGAGCAAAGCCTGCAGCACGCTAGTGGGCTGCAGCACTCAAGCGCGTCAATATGGCTTACTTAGAGACGGCATCTGAGCTGAAGAAATGCTAAAATCGCCAATAAAAATCAAATAGTTTGTGAAAATATTGAAGAAATCGCGAAAAAAAAAAAAAAAAAAAAAAAATGCCGCTTAGCTTCACTTGCGAAAGCTGCCAATAAAGTGTAGCGTGAGTGTCTGAAAGAGAGGGAGAGTGTGCGTGCTGAGCTATGCAAGGCACTGATAATAAGAAATTTTCGCTTTAATCGACTGACAAATTCTTTACAGTGTGCAATTAGCGCCTCAAATCAACCGCAAAGTCAAACAAAGGCATGTAAAAATCATCTCACTAACTCTTGCCTAATCTTCGTTGCGCCCTTTTCGCCTCAAGCGCTCATGTGCCATCGCTTCGTGTGTGAATTTAGCTTTGTTAATAAAGAAATTTCGTACGCGGTGACACAATTCACAGCCGAATCACACTATTTGAATCCGAAACCGGCAAAGTAAGCGGGTCTCCGAGAATACCTTCGCACGCCGCCTCCCTCGAAAGTGCGTGATCAACAGCGTTGTTTTTTTTTATTTCTTCTCCCTATCATAGTGCCTGCGGCTTCCATCTTTCTTGATATATTTTATTTATTATTCACTTGTTTTTCTTTTAATTCCTGCTTAGTTTGCGTTAATTTTTTGATTTCTGAGTATTTTTTTTCTTTGTGTTTTGCGCATAAATTTCGTGATGAAAGTTGTATTTGCCAGCGATTTAGTCAAATGATAAATTATTTTATTTAATACCACGATTCTTCTGTTTTTGCATTTATTTGCTAATATTTGGAGCAGCGTGGGTACCACTATTGCAGTGAGTTATGCTCTTAATCACTGTCGCAGCTGTTGGGCTCGCATAAAGATCACAGATTTCATACAAGCGCTTTAGTAGATGAAAGTTAGTTTTGTTGTTGGAATAGTGTTGGTTAAAATAGTGTTGGCTGAAATATATGGATATAAGTAAAGAGTTTTGGGTAGAAATTATCTGTAGTAGCCAAATTCTAATTAGGAAAGTAGGCAAATATTATTTTTGTTTTCTTTTTGGCCTCTTTAAGTCATTCATATGGGAGACTATTAACTATGGACTAAAAAAGATATATTAAGTTTGCCATGCAGTTTGTAAAACCTAGATGGAAACGTCGGAGATCCTATAAAATATATATACATCTACATAAATCATCAGTCTGACGGGTTAAGTCGATTTACGCGGTTTCGACTGTCCCTGGACAAACTGAGAGATGTTTTTGAGATACCGACCTGAAATTTTTCACACGCCCTTTTCTAATCAAAAAAGTGTTCATTTGTGAGAACTACCGATATCGGACCACTATAACATATAGCTGCCATACAAACTAAACGATCGGATTCAAATGCTTCTATCCAAAACTTTTTCATTTGACGAGATATCTTGACGAAATCTGTTACAGATTATTGCCTCAGACAATAAAATAGACTGCGAAGACATTTTTTAGATCGAGTCACTACAGGGTATAACTGCCATACAGAATGACCAATCAAAATCGCAATCATGCATGGACAGCTGTTTTAGTTGACAAGATATTTTGCTTGGATTGTTGTCTTGGGTAATAACACAATTTGTTCAGATCAGACCATTATGGCATATGTACATATCTGCCACCAAAATCAAGTTCTAGTTACTAATTTATTATATTTGGAAATCTATTATATTTGTGCACGAAACAACCGGAGTTAACCATTTTCGTTCTTTTTTTATTGTTTTGTATACCGCGAATATTAATTCTTTATGTTGAATTTATCGGTAATAGTGTGTTAAGTCGGCTTAAGCTAAGTCCGATATTTTGATAATAATTTTAATAATTTTTTTAAATTTTATTTTTATCCAATTTTTCCCTAAGAACTTTTATTTAAAAAAAAATCTTGAAATATCGACCACTACTAAGCTCTACTAAGTTTTGAACGTCTTTATTTTAAATTTTTTTTCTTGTACTCAAATTCAAATTGAAGTCTTAGGTTGTCATGTCTATGGCAACAAAACAATTTTGAGATTTTTTATTCTAAATTTTTAGAATTTTTTCAACGAATATTATTTTGAAAAACAACAAGTTTTATTATTAAAATATTAATATTTTTTATGTCGAGCAGTGACTAATTTAGTGGATTAAATAGTAGGTTTAAATAGTATTTTAACATACTAAATTAATTTATAAAATAAAAAACATTAATAAGTTTGGATAATTAATAAAGCAGAAGGAAGGTAGTATATTTTTATTTAGACGATTTAATTTTCAAATTTGTTTATGAGAAATTAAATTTTGCAAAATTTCTTTTTTACTTTAAATAAATGTGACTAATTCAACACATCATTAAAAACAAGTCAGATTAACGAATCGAGTTATTTTTAACTAGAAGAAGTGAATATATCGCGAATATGTTTTATATTCACACATACACATATGTATATATATAGAAATGGACTTTGGTTGAACCACTTTTCTAAATGTATCAAAGGGTATTTTTTAGGTTTCATTTTTCGTTAGTAATAATTGGCAAACTTATAAAATTATAAATTTTTATTTTTTATTCCAAAAATATATTTTTTTGTTGATATAATAAAAATGAATATAAAAAATATCGTTTTCAATATAATATTTTCAGTAAACTAATTTTTACCTTCCTAAATCTAGGAATTATTTATTTTTTATTCAGGAATTTTTTTAAAATATTTTTTTAATTCAAATTGTTTTGTTTCAAAAATTAAAGTGTTGGTTAAAAAATAAAATTTGCCAATAGAATATTTTTAGTACTAAAATATTTTTAGAAAACAAATTTTTATTGTTTTAAAACTAAAAAATATTTTTTTAAATCAATTTACTTGTTCAAAATTTAAAAAGATTAATAAAAAATATTTTTCAAATACAACATATCATTGTTGTTAATGTAAAATTTAGAATATATAATCTTTTTAGAAAGCTAATTTTTGTTTTCCAATATTAAGATTTGATTTTCAAAACTGAACTGTTGAAAAGCTCATTTTCCAACATATTAAATTTTAATTTTTTTCCAGAATACCTTAGTAAGTGTTTAAACATTGAATATTAATTTCTTCCTTGAAATTTCTTTACATTTTCCAAAAAAAATTTATAAACTGAAGTTCTTAAAGTAAAAAAAAGCATATTAAAAAAAATTCTTTTAAAATCTATTTTTTTTTAAATTAAAATGCTTACCAAAAACTAATTTTTACTGAAGAAATTAAAACTTGTTCGAAGAATAATTAATATACTTACATAATATTAAAATTTGATTTTCAAAACTTAAATTTTTCGAAGTTCATAGTTTGATAACTGGTAATTTTTCTACAGGTCAAATTTTTTTTCAAAATACAATTATTGCTTACAATAGCTAAATTGTTTGAAGAAAATATTTTTATTTATTTTATTAAACTGAATTTCTTTTAACAACAATTGAAGCATGTTCTTCGAAAAAAATAATTAAAATTATCCTAAGCATGGGTAAATGTTTAATTGTGTGCTTAGAAGTGCGCTGACAAGTTGAAATATTTGGTTCGCACTAAATTACTCAATGCAACCGGCGCCAACCACGCACAGCATTAGACCCCCCACTGGCGCCCAGCGACTACTCGCGCATGTTCAATGACCGACTCATAATTTTTCATAATTTTCAAAAGGCCAAATCACGGCTGGATTTCGAATATTGCGGCTGACAGCAAAGCTGCTAAAATTTTACAAACACACAGGCACACTTGTCTACCAAATGTTGTGTCATAAGCATTAATTTTACTTACAACAACAACAAAGTACAAGTCATTCGTTTGGTAAAAGAGTTGTTGTCAAAATGGAAATATTAATAGCTGCGGGGATGTTTGTGGGTATGTATTGCTGTTTCGTGGGGATCACCCTCCCCCATATATTAATCATTAATGACCTTAGAAAAATTAAATTTTTTAATATTTCAAAATAAAAAATAATAATACAGAAATTACAAAAATTTGAATTAAAAATAGAAATAAAAAAGTATGAAAAAATACAAAAATTAAAAAATAAATTTGAGCAAAAAGTCTCAAAAAATAATTTTTTTAAATAAATTAATTTTTTTTCTTCTAATTTTTTCTTTTAATTTTTTTAATTTTCTTTTTTTTCTTTTTTTACATTTCCCTCTTATTAGAGCATATCTTCTTTACTTTTGAATTAAAATCAAAAACAATTTCAAATTTCTTCATCCATATACATACATACATACATACATACATATTTACATATTTTTGTCATGCATACACATGTATGCTTGTATAGCCCTAGCTCATGTGCTCATTATACAAAATTTGCCCCACTTCGTGCCTTCATGTCACAACAACAACAACAACCGAATGCTTGTTCCGTAGTCGAATCGCCTAAATAACTCAACTCCCGCACTCGTTAAAGCGCTCAAAACTTATGTAGTTTATTGACACGCTCACTTACGAGTGCACTTGCACTCCCCAATTGGGTGAATTTCTATTAATTTGAATGAATGAATCGCACATACTTTCCCACTGCACGCACACAAATTACTATTTGGGAGCTTTAAGGCTTTAATGAGAGCTGCTGCAGTCAGCCAGACTAATGTAAGCTTTCAATTGGCTTTAGTTTTTCGAAATTTCCACAATTTAATTGAAATTAATGCCCGCTCTGCCACATAAATTCTATTAAATTTTAGTGAATTCCACAACTACAACTACAAACCTGTTTTATTGTAAGTATGTGTGTGTGTTGAGCTTTCATAAAGTTAAATTAAAATTTTTGTTAAATTTTTGGAATTTTCAGCAACAGAAATTAAGTAATTGAGTTGAGTACTGCAAGCAATTATCTAAAGTTAATAAATTTTATTTATTGTGGAAAATTCCAAAAATCACTGAGAATACTATGAAACCGTTATAAATGATAGAAAACGGAAAATATTTTACACAAAAGCACTCACAGCATACAAATATGACTTCAGAAGTTATTTGTAATTTTGTAATCGTTTTAAGTATAAATACTTAAGAATTTCCGAGAAGTCTGATTACTTGCTGGACTACCTGCGGATGGCCACCGCGCACTTATTGAGTGTTCAGATACATTTATCAACAGATAAATAATGCAACAATTATGTATATAAGCATATATACATATATATACGTATATTACAGAGACTTATGTATATTTACTATATAAGTGTACATATGTATCTAAGTATATGCATGTGTATGTTTCCAATTTTATCACTCTCAAGATGCTAACATTTCGCATTTCTCTGCTTGTTGTATAATACTCAAGGTTGTTGCTGATTACTCAGTTATCGTAATATCGTGATAACCGTTAACAATGTACATATTAACAAATAATTGTGTAAGCGTGAGGCTGGGAAATAATTTATTTTCAACAATATTTACATGGACATGCAATTATGTGCTCAACGTAACAGCTGTTATGCGGTAGAATGCCTATGGTCAATCGGCCGGAGATAAGATGAGCGAGATAACGCAACAGTGTTGCTATGCGTCATGCATTCAAACACTTAATTTTCTCCTAGGGACCTTGAAATTTGCTTTTGCAAACATTTTCTGTGATGCCCTAAAGATGCAAGTACCTTTAAGGAGCACAAAATTACTTTTTGTTCTTTTCTGCTATCTTTGACTTTATCCCATGAAAATTAACAACTTTTTTACCGTTAAAGTGGAATTCAACACTTGAAATTTTCACTTTTTGACTTTAACGATGGAAAACCAACCTTGGAATTGATTTTCGGAAAGAGGTACTTGTACAAGCATCACTATGCACCACAACAAAACCATTTACTAAATTTTTCTGTTATAGACAACTTTAACCCTTAAAATTTTCAATATTTTTCTGCTAAAGTAGGCTTTAAGCTTTAAAAATTTCACTAGAGTATATACATATGTATATAGAGTTTATAGAACATTTTTCTGCCTTAACCCTTGACATTTTTACCACTACTGTTATTAATTTAAGATGTTATAATCGACTTTAACCCTTGAAAATTAATAAAAATTTTTGTGCTAAAGTGAACTTTAACCCTTGGAAATAATGGCAAGGGTTTTATATAACATTTTTATGCTTCAGTACCACTATTAAATTAAACAGCTATAGTCAACTTTAACCCTTGGAAATTTATAATATTTTTTTTTGCTAGAGTGAATTTTAACCTTTGAAAGCATGACTAGGAGATTTCACAAAAATTTTCTACTAACTTTAACCCTTGAAAGTTTACATTATTTTTTCAGTTTAAGTTAACTTTAATCCTTGAAATGTCACTATTAAAATAATTAAATTAAACTGCTATAGTCAACTTTAACTTCTGAAAATTTGCAATATTTTTCTGCTAAAGTGAATTTTAACCTTGAATGTATGACTACAATTTTATATAACTTTTGGTTTTTTTTTTTTTTTGTTAAAGGGGACTTTAAGCTTTGAAATATTCACTATTAATATTACTAAACTAAACTGCTATGTCAACCTCAACGCGTAAAAATTTATAACTTTAACCCTTGAAAGTATGACCAAGGTTTATACAGCATTTACTTTTGAAATTTTCACTTAAAATTATTTGAAATTTTAGTAAAGTTGGGGTTAAACGAAAGTCAAAATTTATGCAGAAAACCCCGTAAGGAAGGTAAAATCGATTTTCTGTGTACATTATTATAAGAAAAATTGTCAAATACTTGTCAAAAGCGCTTACAGATATTGAAGCTCCGTTGAAGAAAGCGATCAAAAGCACTGAAAATAAACAAAAAGATATAAAAAAAATTAATTATAATTTTGAATTAATTTAGGAAATGTTTTAGTTATAATGTTAAATAAATTTTTTCCAATATTTTTTTCTTATACATAATTATTTTTATGACAATATAAGTACTTAAATGTGAGAATATAGGCGAACAGTATAGCCAACTTCTTTTAAATTACAATATTTAGTAATTATTTGTGGAGTGCCTTAACTCTGGTCGTGCTTCGTTAGTCGATTTTCAAACAATAAAAACAATGGCTAAATAAACAAGCCCGTCCAGCATAAAGTTATATGTCTACATCATCTACAAACTAAGTTTAAATTATTATAGCAGTAACATCCACCATGTGCTTATTGAGCTAAACTAATTTTTGAACTATTTCAAATGATAATAAGCACAAAGACAGCAAAAACAAGCTAACTCTCCTAAATTTGTTTAATGGAATTATAAAATTATATTGTGACATAGTAAAATAAAAATAGTTTAGTTTTAACTCGGTTTATTATTTAGGCCAGCGAATCCAACAAACAACTGTATAAATTAAGAAAAAATTTGTATAATCAATTTGAGTTAGTTTGGTCAAACAGTTATGACAGTCGAAACAACTGCCAATAAAAACTCTGCTATTGAAATACTAACACTTCTCTTTTTCTTTTTCTTTTGACAAGAGAATAGAGTTCAAGCATAGCGAAGAGAGAAGTGACTAAAAAGTAGCTCAAATTTGTTATTCAATTACTTTATAGGTGTTAACTTGGCTTGCTTTGCTTTGGATTTTGACTTTGAGTAAACTATGCTGATCATAAGTAATCAATGAAACTTAAGAAATACGATCATAGCACCTTCTCAAGACATATTGCAATTTATTGACACTAATATACGTATGTTTGTATGTATGAATATATATGTACATATGTCATTTCACGTTCCGCACTTTCTATTGTATCAGCTGATTATTGTTCACAGAAAAAAAAAATGCCTAATTTAAATACACACATACATATGTATTAAAGCTGTTGGTATTTGACTAATCGACTTACCGGCTCGACTTACCATTCGAACAATGATATTTGGTCTGCAGTATCCGGTTAGTCGTAAGTCGTTGACTATGCGATTAACTGTTCGTTGTCGACTATTGAAGTTGAAGATTAGATTCACTTGCAAATCGTCAAAAACGTTTTCTTGAAAATTTTCTTTGGGAAGATTCATTTAATTTAGTAAATAAAAATTCATAATGAATAAAATTTTGTACTTTACTATTTGGTTATTGATTTTCAAAAATTTTGGATTTCTTTAATCCATTAGCCGATCTCAAGGATTACGTCCGAAAAGGTATCGGCCGGAGAGACAGCAGAAAATATACTATTACAATAGATAAGTACACGTTAGAATCCAGGACTAATTAAAATTTTGACTTCTGACCAAAAAAAAATTCCTAAAGAGACTAGACAGTCAGAGTAACTTTATAAATCGAAATTGTTTTTCAAAAACATATTTTTTCGATAATTATGTGTGAAAATTCGAAATTGATCATTCCAACAATTACGAAGAAATTTTCCTCACCAACTCAGAAAACAGCCTTCCAGACAATTTTTTTAAGTTTTGCGAGTTGATTATACGCAATTAAAATATTTTTACAATGCCTAAATTTTCCGAGAATATTCTGAAAAGTACTTATACGAATATACAGCAGCCTTCATCTGTTTAAACTCGAACTACTTCTTCAGTTTTTGAGATATCGCTTTGAAATTTTACAAACGTTCTTTTCTTTCTAAGAATATAATTATTTGATATAAACCCTGATATCGGACAACTATAACATGTAGCCATACAAACTAACCAAACAAATACATATTCTTGTATGGAATAGTTTTTATTTTAAAAGGATATCTTCACAAAGTTTGAAATAGATTATTCTCTCAAGCAAAGCCATAATTTCCGCTCATATCGGATCATTATAGCATAAAGCTGTCATATAAACTAACCGATATAACTAAAGTTATTGTATGAAAACTTTTTTATTTGACGAGATATCTTCGTGAATTTCGGTGTGAATTATTATATAAAGCAACAGTACAGTCTTCGTAAAAATTTTCAAAGTCGGACTACTTCAGCATATAGCGGTCATACCAAAATGACCGATCAAACTCAACAAGTCCTTGTATGAAAAACGTTTTTAATTGACGAGATATCTTAACGAAATTTGGCATAGACTGATATCTACAGCAATGGTATAATCTTCAAAGAAATTTTTCAGATCGGATTACTATAGCATATAGCGAAAAAGAAAAAAAAAAAAAAACCAAAACGAACCTGAGTAGATATTATAGCTTCGGTGCAATTCATTTATGTTTATTATTTTTGGAGAAATTGACTTTCTCTTTTAACAAAATTTTGTCAAATCATCCATATTGTGATATTTTTTTGGGTTCTTTTGTCATGTTTTTGACTAACGTGGAGATTTATGTATCTGAAATTCACTTAAATTATACAAAAGGTAGTACAAAATCATTTTGATTCAGGTATTAATAACCGATTACCAAATACCTGCATACCAGTAAATAAATTCCGTGCGAAAGTCTAGCGTGTCTGCTGTTGGTCCTATGTACTTGTTCTTCATTTCTATTATTTACAGTCTTTATTTGCAGCAACATTAAGCCATTTCAAGCTGTGAACTCAAATTGACACGTTATTAAACACACACACGCATGTAAGTGCCTACTTACATACATTAACATATGCTTAAGCGCGATAAATACACACGCCTGGGAAATGTAATGAAACAGACAGTACTTAAATTTGCATTCAATTGCACTCAAAACCTATAATAATGTTGCCGACATGCCCACTGACTGCTAGTGAGCAATATTTTGTTGTTTGTTCTCTACATTGTTCTTGTTGTTGTTATTGCAGTTATTGTTTTAATAGCAGCTGAGAACAATGACTTCATTGAAGTTGCAATTATGACTGTCCTACTCAGCTTTGCACGCAGCTAAAACGCCGCCGCAGCTGCACACATAATGAGCATGTGTATATGTGTGTGTGTTTGTAGAGTATACATATATGAAAGTATATAGTTGTGTATATAAGCACATGTGTTTGCTTGCATTGAGCTTTGAGCAATGCCACACTACAAAAAAAATCGCTGCTTTGCTTAGGTTTTTCGTTTGTTTTTGTTTTTATTGTCACGCTAGTAACCGTTTTTGTTGTAATTGTTGTTTTTGCCAGTGTGTGTTTGCATTGTGTTTTAATTATCATGATTATGGGCTCATTTGATTATGTTGTTTATTTTCATTGCAGCCGCATTAAACGGCAGTTACAATAGCAACAATAACAACAACAACAACAGAAAAAAGCAACATCGACAACCACTGATATGTGTCATCTGTGTGCTTGCGTCGCTTAAAGCGCCCAAAGCTAGTCGGCGGCAACAGTAGCTTCAGCAATGAAATCAAAATAAAATAAAAAAACAACTACAAAAACAAACACTAGCAAATGACAAGCAAAAAGAAAAACGAAATTGCAGCAATAATAACAATAATAAAGGCAAAGCAAATCTGTTTCGCATCGCCAAATGCCGCGCACATATGCGCTCCGCCTGCTCGCATGCTTGCATGTATATGTGTGTGTGTACGTGTGTGCAGCTTGTGGCGGCCGCCTGTCACGCAGCGCTTACGCTGTGTAGCAGGCAAAATGGAGCGCCATTTACTTAGTTTTTTGCCATAATTACTGCTAACCTCTTTGCTCCGGCACATCTGAGTCGCAGTGAGCGGCTCATCAGCCAGATGAAAAAGCAACAACAACAACAGCTACAACAATACATGTGTGTGTTTATGGCCACATTTGCGCTCGCATTTAGCTTGCGGCTGTGCAAAAATACATTTCTATATCCGCACTTCCTGTTTTGCCTTGTCAGCTTGCTTTTGGCCTTTTGCTTTTCTGTTTGGCTTTAGTTTTGCTTTGTTTTGTTTTGATTATTCGTTGTTGCTGCTTTTTTCGCTTGCATAACGTGCACTCTGTTTTGCCGCTACACGCATATGGTATGTTGCCACTGCTGTCTGTCGGCCTACAAATGTCGCTCGAAGTGTCTTGCTGTCTGGCTGTGTGTTGGTGTCAGCGTGTTTTGTGTTTACGAGGTGTGGTAAATAGCTTTCAAGTGTGGGTATGTGGGCAGCTTGTAATCGAAATTTTAGTAATTTAAAGCTCGCACCATAGACGCATCCGTTGTTGACATCGTCCAAGCCTCTGCACCATATAGTAGGAATTATGAGTGACTTATAGAGTTTGGTTTTTGTTTGTCGTGTAACTGCTTAGAATAGTAGATTTTTGAGAATTTGGCAAAAGCTAATGTATCAATATGCTTTAAATCCTCAAAGGTTGGTGGTAAATACTTAGCCGATCGCCGGCCCTAAAAGCAGCTGTTGTTTTTCCTACCCTCTTGGCTGTTAAGGTTCCGGTTGGTTGTCATCGAAATTGTACGGTTCGGCTCAGGAGGATCCATAGCAACCCAGCTGCTTGGCTCTTTTAGAGCCAAATTTTGTTCAGCATGTGACCCATCCCTGGCTCAATGAGTATGTAAATAAGTACAAATGCCGCATTTGGGTCGAAGAGGAACCTGAAGAGATTCAAGAGCTGCTATTTCATCTAGAAAATGCAAGGGTTCGGTGTGGTTTGTGAGCCGGTGGAATCATCGTCCCATATTTTTTTGACTATTTGATGCCATCAATTAATGGTTTCATTGAGGTAACACTTCACTAAGCAGATAATTTCACGTTTTGCCCCTTTCGATTTGAGATCGATCTGAGATCGCTTGATGTTACATCGGTTCACGTTTTCCTGTGAGGATATATAAATGCTAAAGTCTATGCGCACAATTCCGCTTCGATTCAGGTCTTGGAGCAAATCGGCACGCTTGTCATTCGTCAGTTACCAATCGAAATGCAAGAAAGGATAATCGAAACTTGGACTCAATGGATGCACCATCTCAGAAGT